CAGTGGCTGATATTGACAATGTGCACTATCACGTATATAGATTTCAATCATTCCAATCATCTTAAAGTGCCGTACTCGTAGTACTCGATATTTTTTGCATGTTTTTTTCAATTTTGGAGATGATCATTATTCCAAATTTTTTGGGATTTTCTCTCCTCGTTTCTATAAAATGAAAATATGAATATTATTTCAATATACGTGTAGTAAGGACAAATCAGATGATTCGCCCCAAAATGTCACTGCGTTTAAAGAATTTTCCTATCAGAGAGCCTAAAAGAAAAATTCACTAGCTTGTCAGTGACAATTTGTATTGAAAAAATTTTTGGAGAAGGGAAATAAAGGTATATAGAAAAAATATCAAATTTTCACTTATCTTTGGACAACATATGGCAGAGTGGAATAATATTAAAATTATTGGAAAAGAAGATAACAACCAGAAGAGAAAAATCAAGGAATCTGCTTGCATTCTTCTGAACGGAGACAATAACATTGCTTCTTGTTCAGTTGATATAGACAGAACATGGTATTCACTACTAAAATCTGAACATGAAAATGGTAAATTCAAGATCAATTAATGAAAACATCCTGTAACTCATTTGATTGCCAACGTCACCAATTGTCATTGAAAACTGAAAAGCTTCAAGACATTATACGACTTCGCTATTGAAATAATCTCTTCTCATGTTGAAAACGGGAGCAGAACCGGTCCCGAAACGTCCAAAGATAAGTGAAAATTTGATATTTTTTCTATATACCTTCATTTCCCTTCTCCAAAAATTTTTTCAATACAAATTGTCACTGACAAGCTAGTGAATTTTTCTTTTAGGCTCTCTGATAGGAGAATTCTTTAAACGCAGTGACATTTTGGGGCAAATCATCTGATTTGTCCTCACTACACGTATATTGAAATAATATTCATATTTTTATTTTATAGAAACAAGGAGAGAAAATCCCAAAAAATTTGGAATAATGAATATACCACCTCCTCGATTAACCTACAGACAGTATTTGGAGATGATATTTATCACTTATAATTACACGAGAGCTTGTTTTTGTCGAAGTAAACTTGACATGTATCAATAAGAATTTTGAAGCCTAGCAATTAGACGAAAATAAGTGCCTCTGAAAAAATAACGAGTCCGTAGGACGAGTAATTCTTTCTGTCAGTTTTTTGAGTTAAATTATCTAACGGCAACAAAATTCAAATTATAAATGCCAAGTTCACTTCGTCTACAAAAAAATGCGAGACAATTTAATGCATCAAACATTCTTTGTTTATTGCTGGTTGTCATGCTTTCAAGAGTTATATTTTGTTATTGTCGCTGGAAAAGTTAGGGCAACCTTCTTTCGTTGTCATAATGAAAAAATCACGCGGCTTTTGGGATTATTCATACATAAATCCGATGTCATTGAGAAAAAAAACAAGAAAAAATTCTAGTATTCGGGTGGTTATCATTAACCATATTCCATCAATGAGCAGAAAACAACTATTCTACTATACACGATGAGGTTCATGCATAGGAAAAGGAGGCTCAGTTGCTGATATTTTTTTCATCTCTTGTGGGGCATGGAAGGGAAATTTTCGCCAGTAGACCAAAGGCCAGTAGGGGTCGCCTAGACAAGAATTCTTGTCTTGTCTTGAGAAACTGTCAAGAAATTTCGGAAAATCTTTTCTTGACGTTTTTCTTGACATAATTTTTTGCGTTGCGTGCCGGGGTTGCCATCTCGGTTTTTATTTCATCAGTAGATATATCTTGTCAGAAATTCAGTAGATTTCAGTGAATTTATTTCATGCTATACAAATCTCAGGATAATGAAATTAACCTATGACGTCAAAAAAATATTTATTTTTCTGTGACGGAAAAAAAATTTCACCACCTGTGATTATCAAGTCGACTTTGTTTATTATTAGAATTCGAACCTTGCTGCCACTAGCGAGTGAATGTGCATAATGGTTATTCGACAATGTTTCTGAAGTAAGTATCTGACTAAGCTACCACTAATGAGTGCGTTTAATAAAGGGAATAGGGCAATTTTATAATCATAGGTAGAGAAATTTGCTAATATCGATGTGGATCATATAGATAGGCTCATGACCTTCTCGCTGTATAGTTCTTGAAGAAAGTTTAGGGGCAAAAATCTATATGGACTTCAATAGATATCAATTGATACACCCTCAAGAAAAGCAAAAGGTATTTGAGTAATTGATGATTAAAATATGTCCACCTTTATCATTCCATCAATCATGGTGATAACTGAGGCATTCAGATCTACGATAACTGAGAGGAACACAGAAGATTTTTCCATATAGCCAGGAAAGTAGTTGATTTTTCTTGGATAAACCGAGAGAGAATTGATATTTTTATCACATAGAGAATGCGAATTGTCAATGTATTTCTTTTTATGTATATCCATTTCTTCCATTTTTTCATCAAAATCGTTATTGCATATCATCATTATCATAGGATTTCAATGTCTTGCTCCTATTTGAGAATGTTGTAACGGTAATAGGATTTTTTGTGATGGAAGCAAGAAATACCTCAGCAAAAAGTCTAACAGCAAGATTCTCCTCAGTGTATCAGGACACATACTGAAATAGTGATTTCACATTATTATCTGTATATCTTCAGGAAAATGCAATGCAATGTCATGACAAAGACCCAGGTCATTCCTTCGTGCCAAGAGAAAATGCAAGCTTCAAATCAGAAACCAGGACATGCAATTCACAGTTCAAGACATGACTAAAAATGATATCAATTTATTACGAATGAGTCATATGCCAGTTGGAATGAGATTACGTGAAATAGATTGGCTTGAATTGAAACATAAGGAAAATAAGCATGCATAAACTTATTTTTCATTTTAATGAGCCTGCATTAGTCATTCCAAAGAAAACAATCACCAAGGAAAGTGAAATAATATTTTGAATTGTGTGACCATCATCACGAAATAGGGAATATAACATTGATTTAGTGAGGAAAAGAATTCCTCCATAAGTATACTGATAGAAGCAATTGCAATCGCAAATTTTCATGCTGGTAGTCAATGGTTTAATAACTTTCCAAACAGATCATCCTCGTTTCAATTAAATCACATCAGGACATGAATAAAACTTCTTCATTATCATTCTCAGAGCACACAACTCATTCATTCATTCCTTGATTGAATTGAGCATAAGTATACTATAGGTAGGTAAAGGGCAGACCTTTGCACTTCTGTTATTCAACAACACTACACATATCAGGCTAATTTGATTACATGGAACTTCTGGAAGTATATAAACTGGGATTTGAAACACGAAGGCTTCAAATAGGATATGATAACCATCTCGGGATACTCTAATATATGGAGAATGTTATTATCATTGTGATTGAGCATGGACACCAGAATTTGCAGCTTCATCGGAGGGAAAAATTAGGTTGTAGAGTATATACAGTGACAGAGTTTTCCAATTTGTATCCAGTTATTGTCCACTGCACGGCTGCCTTCCATGAATTTATCACGTATTTTGCGGTTCACCAGCGAATATAAATATTGCGGAGCCAAGAAAACGAATAATGAAACATTGTCTGAAACGTCATAATTCCATATAGTTTTGTATCAATTTTATGCAATAATTATTGTTTGCTGAACTCTGATCTACTGTGGAAATTACTGCCTGGACAAAATATGTCATTGTATCTTCCATTAGAAATTATCGGAGAGGTAGTGAGCTTCGCAGATGACACTGCCATCTTTTCAGAGGAACTGACTGGATAACTTTAAAACATAACACTGAGATAGATTTCCAACAGTTCTTCAATGACAAACTCCTCACAATTAATTACAAAAAAACATTCTTCTTACCATTTACATCGTACTCTTCCAATATACCAACATAAAATGAACTGAATATACCATGTATTGGCGAAACAAATGGAATAAAAATAAAGTCTGTCGAAAACATTAAATACCTAGTCATATATATAGATTCTCATCTTAAATGGGAAAAGCAGATGAATTCTGTGATCGAAAAATTACGCTCTATGGTCTACAGATTCAAAAATCTTTTTGATTTCATCAAACCTAATTATCACAAGATATTATACTACGCTTTGGTCGAAAGTCACCTTACCTATGGAATTATTGCATGAGGAGGTGCGTCAATCACTCTCATCAACAACTTACAAAAAATTCGAAAAAGTATTCTCAAAAACATGTATAAAAAACCAAGAACCTACCCATCTAACAATCTATATCAAGAAGCTTCCATATTGAATATATATCAACTTCATGCCAAGATAATCCTGCTCAAACAATTCAAGAATAAGTCAAATCTGATACATCCCAATCACCAGTATAGCACAAGAAACAAGACTAAAGCTTTGATACCGAAAACTGAGAAGACAATAGGACAAAAATGTCAATGAATTGCCATCTGACTTGAAGAGTATCAACTCAGTGCTACTATTCAAGCAAAAAGTCAAAATTTGGATACATACTATTCCATTAGGTACCCTTCAAAATTTTATATCAACAAGCAGAATATGTTATAGATTAACTTGAATTCAGCTGATTTCAAACTATAGTGCGTAGTACTAATATAAAAAAAATATTCTAATAATATAACGTATTACATGTTTATCTTTCTCATTTTATATATAAATAGGTATGTGTATTTTTACAGATGTATATAGTGTTTATGTGTTTGTATATGTATGTATATACACGGGTGTATGAGTGTATGTGTATTCATGTATAAGTATGTATGTACTCTGTACTCAACTGTAACTAGTTTAAGTATACCTAATTCCACGATATCTCTCACCACGCGCGGATTTATTTCCTTGTGGTTGTCAGCGTTTATTTATCACTAATATTAAGTATGGATATTTTTCTATTTGTACCCTTCAGAAAGTAAAAATTACCATTATTATTATTATTATTAATATTATTATTAACAACACATGAAGTAGGCACCGAATCATCTCGAAAAAATTGAAATCATATTTTTGTTTCAGCTTCTGGTTCTACGAGCAGGCCAGGTGAGTTGAATTCTTCCACATATGGAACAAGCAAGAAGAATGAGCTCAGAACCAAAAATTCTCTTGATTCCTATGCCCCACCCTGTATAAGATGAGATGCTTTAGCGTATACTTTGTATTGGTTCTCACGATGTTCTGCGAACATTATAGGATATCCCTTTTCGTAAGAACCAGAACATAAAAAAAATACTGAAAATACAGCTCGTCGCTCGATCTTTAAAATTAGGATGTTTTGTCCATCTATACCTGGTGTCACAGTATACATATATATTCCGATGAAAATTATCATTCATTCAGAAGATTAAATAATGAAAATTTCCAGGATTTGATATCAATACAAGGATCTATCATTTGAGAAAAATCGGAAAACATCAGTTGAAACTAACCCTGAATTTTTCAATTTGCACCCTATTCTATACAGTTCTTGGATACTATTCGAAATTATTCCCCCGGAAGAACATTATATTTTCCACACTCGAGATGAAAGAGAAAGCTTCAATTGGAAATTGCAAAAAGCAGTGGGCTGTACGCCATTTTGTGGAAAAAGTATTCTGAAATGGCAAACCAGCGACCTATTGAAATTTTCCGAGAAAGTTCACTATATACGACAAGAATATTGGGAGTATAAAAAAAAATTCTGTCTCAATGGTCTAGGTAGGAACCTGTTTCAATATGCCGATTCTAGTACGATTTTGTTCTTTATTTTGTATGCGGTGGGTTTCAGTTTCAATGAAACATTCTATAATGAATATCAGAATTTCATATATAAGTAGTATATGACACACCTTTACATAGGACTGTCGTTTTAACCCATTATTTTCCGTGTATATATATATCTGTCTTCACACAAGGTCATATTAGTTCAGGTTAGCAAATGATATCATTTCATTTCTTAAATCCATGAATGAAAAACTTGATTTGGATAATGTATATAATTGTTGAACATTGTATAAATAGATGAAGCTTCACCAGTTGTTAGTGAATTTCAGATTCCATCAGATAATGTGTAGATTTTCTTGCCCATTTTGTTGCCCATGCCGTAGGTATAGCTATAGTGAGAATATTTTGTTTTGTTGAACCTATATAGTCATCGAATTCAGATATGTTCATCTATTCTATTCTTTCCAGTTATCTACACAATAACCCATTCCACCCTATTCAATCAAACAACAAGAAAGCAGTCGTAACGAAAACAAGAAGACACCGAAAACATATAAAATAAACCATATTTTTGCTTTCTTCTCAAATTTCATAATCACCAATTATTATTCTTCTCGAAATCCTGGAGAACATATAACGAGAATTTCACGGTCAGAATGATGCCGAGTTGAAGTTGAATTTTCTGTGCTAGCAATTAATTTCGGCAATATAAAGTTCTCAGGAGTTTTCAACATGAAATTATCTCATAAGATCTGCAGTGTTTGGAAACGGCGTTGTTTTTTACACAACTGATGGAAATTTACTGGAGAAGTTACGTCTGTTCAGCTTAATGATGGGTAGTTTTTTTCAAGTCGTTTGAGATCAGATGCGAATAAATAATTGTTGTGGAGCTGTTTTTGAGAGTACAGTCCTAATAAAATCAGAAGTGGTTGTAGGTATAGCAGCCCACGATAGGTAGTTCCATTAAAAGTTTCAATATAGGACTGAAAGCTTGAGGTGTGTAAACAGAAAAAAAATACCTTCATGCAGACCAACTTCTGGTAGAGGCATTCGAGATCAACGAAATCTGCCACGTACCTAAAAAATTCGAGAGCAGTCCAAGATTCATTTAATGCCAACAATCTTGATATATCGTTTTGTTAGACGGCACACAGATGCGAGTTCTTCAACAGAAATCGAATTTGCTCAGAGACATGATTACTGTAATGAAGGTTAGGAAACGGAAAACAAAGAGATGATTCACACCAGACGTCCCCCTTTATAACAACACCGGCATTTCACAGGGTCGGTCGTTTGCGGTTATGACAAAATGTGAAATTCAATTCCATCCATTACTTTCGGAAAGTACAGTGGATAAACAAGGCAAGAATGTAACGCTTGCCATTTGGAGAATCTAAGGTACAACGATAAAATATCGCTTGCGAGACAACTCGGGCTAACAGGACAGAAGTGTATTAGCAGAATACGCTTTCCAGTAAATTGGATATATACAGGAGCATCTCGCATTGTTCTGAGGAAATAAGTGTCATGCGCTCAATCTGTATTGAATAATGCTTCTACAATAAGGACTCATTGTCTGATATCATACTTAGAGCCAACTGATGGAATAACATCACTGACATAACTACCATACCTAGACCGCGATATGTCATATCCAATAGCCCGAAAATCTAATCCAAATTGCTCGCCTGAAAACGCTTCAGCTCAATGCGCAGACCCTCCCAAACTGTCGTTCATGACATCGAGTCATGATTCTTTGTGTTCGGGAACATAAGTAAGAGTGTGTGAGATATATGACAGGTCCATGGTCATATAATAAGAGGGAAGACAGCATTTCATTCATGAAAAACTATATTTGTTTACAATCATACATATACTTCCTAAGTTTCGAATATGTTGGAAAGAGATGGATCAAAAAACGACAACACTGCAAAAAGTGCGTCAATGTTCACACTTTCCGTTACCAGTGGCGTAGGTTAAGTGTGGGGCAAGACAATTTCACTAACAATGACAATATTATTATACCTTTTAGAAAATGTGTGGGTGTAATCATTTCCTTTTGATATACCAAATATTCGTTGTACCTTAGGTACTTATCAAATTTTGTTCCATCATTCAGTGGAATTCAAAAAAATGAACAATGTTTTTTGCGATAATTTAGTTGAATAACATACGATAATTACACCACTGCTCAAGTCGAAAGAAACATAATCTCATTTACCGTCGAAATACAAATTCGGGGTTTGGTAAACTTTTTTACAGACCATGCACTGGCAAATCATTGTAGATTGTTGATAATTGTCTTTATATATAGTTTCGTGACAAGAAGATTCTGAAAATCAATTGAACCACAAAAAAGATTTTAGAATGGTAACAAACACAGCACAACAACATAGTATAAAGTGGTATAACGTCGGCATTTGCATACGTGAATGACTTTATCAGGAAGATATACGTCACTGATGCAGCGTTTCCACAGTTATTTCCATAATTCATTATGATTTTATGTAAGTAATAATTAAATTAGAAAAATCCAGTTAATTTCAATAGCAGAGTTCACATATTTCAATCAAGAAACAAACATAAAGAATAAATATACATGGAAAAATTCATTATATAATTAATGTAAGATTAATACATCCCTCGTAATTGCAACGAAGGCAGTAGATCTAGGGCAATCCGCAGTAATTTTTCATCATCGTTTTCTGCTGAAAACGATGTAAATTATGTCAGTGAATAACATTCTCAGTCCTCTAATACTCAAGTCACACAATCGCAATGTCTTTCCATATGTTGTTTATGGGTCAGTGCTCAGATTCAGTTCCTCTAGAAAGAATTGAAGTCATTGAAATGTTCAATAACAGGTTAATAAGCTATAGTGGTGCATGAGATCCAACATGATCAAAAGGGGGTACCTATATATGACAGCTTATGATGAGATATACTAATTTGCGATTATTTATATGAATCTCGCCTGTTTGAGTAGATATCTCAAATCCCATTGGTACATGCCAAGCCCACAGATATATCAACATCCTTTGTGTAGACATGGCATGGAATCAATAGACGATATCTGACACGAATAACAACAAAACACGCATCAAATTGATGTTCTATAGATTCCGTTCGGAGTTTCTAATTGAATTGAAGTTTCTTTTTCTTGGTAGCTGTACGAATACTGGCCGGACTGATATATCGAAATACAATGTGAAACAAATCCGGTATCTATTTCGTCTCTCATCGTTATTTGTTTAATACATCTAGTTTTTCAATTGGTTGAAGAATAGTTGTTGTAAAATCATCATGTAAAACATAATTATGAATTCAAAAAGTCAAGGATTTTATAGTGAAGAATATCCTAGGAAAACTCTTACAATGGGACGAGTATCACACCCTTGTATCACACATTACACCCATATATAATCAAAATCAGAACATCAGAATTCAAAATAATTTCGTGATGAACATGTATATTATCCATAGTGCATACTCATGATATTTTTCGCTCGACATTATTAATTTCCATAATATACAGGGTGTTTCAAAAAAACCTGACCCCCTTGCTAGGGTAGGTAGATCACTGCAAAATAAGTTGGGTTTGCTCAGTGAAAAAATGTCTTAACGGCATCCGTTTCCATGATACAAAGTGTTAAAAAAATTACTTTTTTACACATTTTTCACGATTATGTCGAAACTACTGGAAAAATTGTGATGAAATTTTGTACGGATGTTTCTTGAAATCTGACACATCGCATGAATTTGTTTTTATATCTGACTCTCATAGAGGGCGCTAGTTACACGGTTCGTACCGAGTAGTTTAGAACATAACTTTTTTGAGGTTAGATTTCCCAATCTAAATATGATATGAACTCAAACCTCATTCAATTTTACACCAAAAAGGAACTCTTGGTGAAACTCGATACTATGTTCCGTTTCGGAATATTTTGATTTGAAAATATTGGAGTAGTATTGATGCTGGTATAAAATGAATTTTATTGATGAAAAGGAATATTCTCAGATAAATCATGAACATATAAAAATGGATATATATTTATATAAAGCAATACATTGAGAATTCGCATTCTCTATGTGATGAGAATATTTACTCAATGTATTGCTTTATATAAATATATATCCATTTTTATATGTTCATGATTTATCTGAGAATATTCCTTTTCAACAATTTCATACCCAATCAGGGGGTTCAAACTTGAACGATGGAAACTTGTGATTTTTATAGACCTCTTATCGCAGATTCGTGATAGAGTCTCAATTCAGAATTCATTTCCACGCCCTGTATGATGAATGTCAATTTATCATACACCCAAAAGAATTTTATT